AATGTAATTTTTAATTAATACAAACTACTGTATTATATTGTCTTGAAAAATTATACATCTGTACATAAATGTAATTTTTAATTAATAATTAATAAAAACCTATACTACTTCACACATTTTTTTGTGTTATATCTACCTAGACAGGCTGTAGTCTGGCTATAGTCAGTCAGTGAAAGTGAAACAGTCTATAGTGTTAACCCCCATTGTTGTAGGGATTATCACGGGCTACTGATGTTTAAACTAGAACAATAGCTGCATAACGACATGATTTGGTTTAAACTTACGTCTCATTTTGATGTTGATTTTAAGATTGTTCTGTGCATGTGCTATTTACCCCCTTCATGTTCATCACGTGTTAACGATGGAAAAGAATTTTTTAACACTCTGTAACTTTATCAAAATGATGGTATTTTATGTATATGCGGCGATTTTAACGCACGAGTTGGTAATGAAAGTGACTTTATCGAGGGAGTAGACAGCGTACCTGCAGGGGAGGTAATTGACTACACTAAGAACTCTTTTGGTGGTTTGTTTATTGACTTTCTGACTGAAAGTAACCTATGTATGATCAACGGTCGACTAGGAGCACAGGACTTCACTTATGTGAAGAATGGGGCGTCCGTTGTGGACTATGTGGTTACAGCACATGATCACCTTAGTAGCTATAAGAACTTTAATGTTGTTAAAATGTCTTGGATTATCACTGGAAGTAATGTCCCTGATAAAAATCCCGATCACTCGATACTTTCATAGGACTTGGAGGTACCAACTAATTTGTCTGATTCTTTTACCACAATAGGCCAAATAGGTAAATGTAAAATGTACGTTAAAAGTAAGATTAATAGTTCTTTTTTGTCTGAGGTGTCTGCCGCTCAGATAAATGAAGTTGTACATAAAATATATAGAAATTTGTCTGTTCACGACGATGTTAATGAAGCCTATAATGAGTTTGTTTCTTTTTTGCATTCTGAATTATATAAGTGTGCTTTACCATCACAGTCTAATGTTATTGTCAATGGAAACCTTATTGGTGCAATGAATTACAATCTCAATGGGATAAAGCATGCCTTGCAGAAAACTACTGGTTGAAATGCAAGTCTCGGGTCAGGAGAAAACGTTTCAAGCATAGCTATGTTCAGGAGGTGTCCTCCCAAAACTTCTACATGCCAAAACTTCTACAGCTTAAAACAACAAAATGTATGGTCCACTGCACCACTAATCTCCTGGCTATTACCTGTTGGGCATTGATTGGAACAGTCCAATTAACTAAGTGTACAACATACAACAAAACAAAACGATTTGAAGACAATTTACTCATATAGCACTGGTATAAATAAATAGTACACACACTTTTTGCACTAGACTACTTACTAATTTAATGTAAGCAGTGGTATAAATAAATAGTACACACACTAATGTAATGTCACAACTGGCCTCACTCTGTCACATACAGCACTAGAACTACTATATTTCAAGTCTCTTAACCAAGTTTGAGAAGATGACCAACAGCATCAAGGAACTCGATAGGGCTTTTCTGTCAACATGTCCTTAAGACGTCTCGGGCGATTTTCAGTCGCTCTGTAAACTCGCTTCCTGCTGGGTGGGGCGGCACCAAAGTCTAACTGTGCGATTTTTGTCCTGTCTGCACACTCAATCTTCTTAATCATTTCTACAAATCGGTAGATATTCGGGTGGCGGTGGGGTAAGGTTCTCAAAATCCGTCTGGACAGTGGCAGGAGCGAGGGGGCGGTTGAATCTCTGTTGGACTTCTGTTTTGAGTCGGCTGAACAGCCTGGTGTAAGTTGTGGTCTGTCTGTCAGGCAGGAGGGCGAAGACAAGTGGGCACATACAAGAACCACTTCTTGCATGTGTCATGTATACCTGGTTCCACAGATCTGGGCAAGATGTAAGATGTATACAGTGTCTGCAGACTGCGAAGCTTGGAGTTGGTCATGGGTAAAAAATACAACAATCTTGTTGGTATCTCAATCAGTGAAAAGCAGGAATGGGCGTCTGTCTGTTGTTTCAGTCCAGTTTCCTTCAAGTTGGACTTCAGCTCGTGTCTGTGGGAGTGTTGGGATGTTCTTCAACATCGTACAGAAGCTAATGAGTCTTCTTAATTACAGGAGGACTATACCATTATAACAATACGTAAACTCAATCAGCCATGACAACTCTCTGTAGATGTTTTGTCATGTAGACGTTTTGGCATGTAGACGTTTTGGGAGTTCAGGAGAGGAAATGTTTTGATAGGCTATTACGTAAGTATAAAACGGCACATCAGCTCAGTGAGCAACCCGTGTGCGAAATACGCTGCAGTCGGAAAGCGCACGTTAAATCTTCTATATCAGTCAGTGAGCAACAACGTCTATAAGTTAAGTACTGTGACAGTGACTCGCGCAGCTTTTGGAAAGCAATAGGCAAGCTTGGTATCAGTAACGACCGAGTGTATGATGTCCCCTGGGAGGTGAAACAAGATAGTGGTATATCTTCAGATAGAGGTGTAGTCTTGAATACATGGAAAGATGAATACAGTTCTCTATTCCTGGAGAGTACATCTCCTAGTTTTGATGATGGTCACTTCCATAAGATTTGTGATGAGTTGGCAAATAATCAGGTGAGAGTGGACTGTCAGTTTGATACCCGTGACCTAGATTCACCGATTACAATGTCGGAAGTTGTTCGTGCAGTTGCACGAGCAAAGCGCGGGAAAGCAGTTGGTTTTGACCTACTAAAGTGAGTGAGTGAGTATGGTTTTACGCCGCTTTTAGCAATATTCCAGCAATATCACGGCGGGGGACACCAGAAATGGGCTTCACACATTGTACCCATGTCGGGAATCGAACCCGGGTCTTTGGCGTGACGAGCGAACGCTTTAACCACCAGGCTACCCGACCGCCCCTCTGAGGCCTTAAAGAACGATACTTGCATCGATATCTTATTTAGAATGTTTTCCTATTGCTTTGATAATAATGTATGCCCCGACTCGTGGCGAACAAGTTTGATTAACCCAATTAAAAAAAGTGACAGAGATCCCCGCGAATTTAGCTGTATAAATGCTGTCCAAAACCGAGCGTGTAGATTTTTCTTAGCAGTCGGTAGAAAGACTCCAAATTTGGCTGTCCGTGGTGAAATGGGCTGGACATCCTCATTTACAAAAGAAAAAATTGAAATTCTTCGGTTCTGGCGCAGTTTGCATGCTGCAGATCAATCCCGAATGCTGAGTATTATTTGCAGATGGTCAGTAAAATTCCGTAGATCCTGGAATAATACAGTTTTCAACTACTTTGTCAGTTTACATTTACCAATTTATGATCTAAATAATATTTCAACTGAAGAGTTTAACTTGTCTAAAGTATGTCTGTTATCCTTAGACCATTCTGATTGGTTACATGGACTCTGGAACGATACGGGCCAGGTAAATGGTAATAAGTTACGTACATACAGATTATTTAAAGATTCTTTATCAGTAGAACCCTATGTCAGTTTATTGATGAACAGATGTCAGCGCAGTATATTAAGTAAGTTTCGCTGCGGCTCACTGCCATTAGAAATAGAATTGGGAAGATTCACCCGCCCCAAAACACCGCTTATTGAACGTATGTGTAAATTCTGTAATTGCAATACTGTTGAGGATGAAATACACTTTTTTGCTGAATGTTCTCTCTATACAGATTTACGCTATGATTTATGGAATTTAGCTTCTCAATCAACTCCAAACTTTATACAGATGTCCGCTGCCGATCAGACCGTGTTCTTTATGTGGAACATAAGGGTGGTCAGACCCTTACCTGCAAAAATGTCATAGAAGATGAGAAGCATGTCCTTTTATTCTGTCCCCTTTACGACGAAATACGTTTTAGCCTCATCAACAAGTGCAATAGTTTATGGATAGATTTTACTTCCTTGACAGAGCAAGATAAATATATTAGGATTCTATCAACTGATGACCTCACCTTTTACTGTGCCAGAACCTGCCATGACATTTTATTGACCCGGAGGAATATTTTATATCATTGAGTCTTAAAAATTGTGTTGTATATTAATGTATGTATATTTTAATATTTAGCTTTTGCTAAAAAAAAAATTATTATGTGCCTGTTTACAATGTACCGTCTCTCATAAATCGCTGTGCGATTGGTTGTATACAACTTTAATGTAACTATATTTTTAATTTGTTTTAACAAAAATGTGGTATACAAGTGAGACGTTAATAAAATCTTCTTCAGACCCCTAGCCGCGCTTCTTCATCACATGTATGAGCGAAGACAACTGTGTCTTTCGTCTCTACCAACTTAGTTCAATGTATCTTAATATCAGAATGTTCTGATAACTGGTGATAACTCATTTTTATGTATATGTATGTACTGTGATATTTCTCATGTTTACTCATATGTATGTGACGTACTGCGTGTCTCGTAGGCCATAATGGCCGGACACTGTACACACTATTTGTGTATTTTTATTGTCATTGTTGTACAGTGTGTGACACATAAATAAAATAATTTTCTTCTTCTTCTTCTTCTTCTTCTTCTTCTTCTCTATTGTTATTTCGGAGAGGCAGACTATTCCCTTATACACCGCTTGGAAGCACACCATGGGGTTTAATATCGTGCCCAAGATTATTGCACTTATATAGCGTGTGTATGTGTGTGTGGTTGCTTGTACTAATCCGATTTTATAGTGTTATCCCACTGAAATATCATGCCGCAGTTTAACGTGAACACTCAACTTAGACACAGCATGCTGACTCCGAGCCGACTTGTCATTTTAACCCCCGCGTCAGGCAGGGTAACAACAAGGACCATCTTTTAGCGTCTTTTGGTATGCCGCGGCCGGGGATCGAACCCCCGACCTTCCGCTCTCCGGGCAGACGCTCTACCACTAGACCATGGAGACGATCGTATAATATATGAAACATAACTTACTTGAGGATATCATACATAGTATAATATGTGGATCGCAAGAAGAGTTTAACTATAAACATCATTGAATCTTACCTTAAATAGAGCGGAGATAGGTGAGTCGCTTGGCGTCTCCCTTCGTGGTAGCTTGAAGTATCAGCCACCGGCCCTGCGCAGAATGTGACGAGATGGGTCTCAGCCATAGCCGTAACAGCTTGCCTGCATATGATGAACCTAAAGCACAGGTTTGTGACACTATCTCTAGAGTGAGTGAGTGAGTGAGTATGGTTTAACGCCGCTTTTAGCAATATTCCAGCAATATCACGGCGGGGGACACCAGAAATGGGCTTCACACATTGTACCCATGTCAGGAATCGAACCCGGGTCTTCGGCGTGACGAGCTAACGCTTTAACCACCAGGCTACCCGACCGCCCCCACTATCTCTAGAAAGTACAATAGTAATCATTATTTATAATTCTAAGAATACTACCTCTATTACATCTCTGCCATAAATCCTGTATTTTGGCCTTAATCACACAAATGTTTTTTTAGATTTTCAACAGATGTCCTCCTCACTGTCAATCACACAATTAGTTGTCGCCAAATTTGTTTTGTTTTGTTTGTTTGTTTTTTAACGCCGCACTCAGAAATATTCCAGCGATATGATGTAAATAATCGAGTCTGGACCAGACAACCCAGTGATTGACACCATGAGCACCGATCCACGCAATTGGGACCGATGACATGCATCAACCAGGTCACCTAACATGACCACCCGATCCCGTTAGTCGCCTCTTACGACAAGCATATTCGCCTGTTACGTCAAGCATGGGTTGCTGAAGACCTATTCTACCCCGGATCTTCACGGGTCTTGTCGCCAAGTAGTCTCGTAACTACCATGACGTCATAATGGCAGCAATACCACTTCTCCCTCCTCATCTACTACTTATTAACAATGATAACTATTGTTCGATAATTCTTACGAAACCTCTACCTCTATTACATCTCTGCCAGAAAATGCCAGAGGGACCTGGTGGGATCTGCCTCCAATATATCCCAGTGTAACTGACAGCAATGGCTCAGAGAGAGAGAGAGAGAGAGAGAGAGAGAGAGAGAGAGAGAGAGAGAGAGAGAGAGAGAGGTGTTCATTACAAAAGCTTGTACATCCAGTCTTATTAGGCTTTTGAGACACATTTAAGTACATGTGTATTCACTGTAAAATAATAATTTTAGAATAAATAAAGAAATAAAATCGGCAAGCGTTGGCGTACGCTACAGGGACGACATCGTTCGAGATCCTATTCTACCCTTTGTGCAAATGAAGGGACGTAACGTCACGTTGCAGCAGGTTGCTGCTTGACCACATGTTGCACGTGTTGTAACAGCCTTACCGCAGACCTCCCCCAAAGAACATTGGATGCTGTGTAAATCGGCAAGGCCATATACACGCAAAGAAAATAATTTCAAGTCAAATCTTATTTTAAAGAAACAGCTCCACAGACTGCTTATTTATTCATTAACACATAAAAAAACACTGTAGACAACGATACGAAATCAGTGACATCTAACAGGGCAATAATACAACACAAGCCCTGCCCAATCAGGAAACAGAAGTCCATTAGTTGGCGTGGCCTAATCATTTTCGGTTTGTGGAACCAAAAAAGCGAAAACAACATCTAAGTCAGCCAATCAAATACCATAGAATCACTTGCAATTAATTGACTATAAATTGACCATCATAAAATGTGAACGATAAAAGAATATTATCTTGATTTCATAAACACGAAAAATGAGGCACAAACATCGGTCGAAATGGCTCAAAACACATTTCGAATCATTTTATAAAAAAACCCAGTTAAAATGTTTTCTTCCAGGTGAAGACTAAACTAAGACAGTGTGAAGTGGCACTAGCATCATTTCGCAAATTGATAACTTCATAACTGCATCTTACCCAAACTGTCCTTCTTGCCCAGGTCCTTTACACAACAATAAACACACTTAGCACGGGGGCATCCTACTTGTCCGGCACCTTTTGTCCTAGCAGTAACCTCCCTCTATTAGTCGAAACAGGCCGCTATTCCAAGCCACCTATTCCTTTAAATGACAGAATATGTAAATTTTGTGCAGAAAAAAATAATTATGTTATTGAGGATGAATCACACTTTTTAATAGATTGTTTTGTATACAGTGACCTGAGATATCAACTACTACACAAGGCAGCTGAATTAAATCAGGACTTTTATTATTTTAATAGCATTCAGCAATTATCTTATTTGATGCAAGAAGTGATTTTACAGCCGCTTTTAGCAAGCACATTATACAGCATGTATAGAAGGAGAGTGCATCTCTTCTAGTCTTAACATTGTATGTAATATTTTTATTTTGTGTTTTATATTTAATAATGTTATATGTTTTAAATGCTTTTAGAGTGTCTCATAAGCCCTAGAGGCTGGATATTGTACTTTTAATGGCAACTTGCTTTTGTTTAAAATTTGTTTTATGTACAATATGTGACACTTAAATAAACATTTCTTCTCTTCTTCTTCAGTAAAATCGCCCAGCAGGACAGTAATGAGATTGTAATCATGCAGCTGCAGTCTGGTAGTTTGATGCCGCCAAAAAAGAGGCGGTATCGGAATTTGGAACACGCTCTTGGAGTGAGTGAGTGAGTATGGTTTTACGCCGCTTTTAGCAATATTCCAGCAATATCACGGCGGGGGACACCAGAAATGGGTTCACACATTGTAGCCATGTCAGGAATCGAACCCGGGTTTTCGGTGTGACGAGCGAACGCTTTAACCACTAGGCTACCCGACCGCCCCACACGCTCTTGAAACAGAGAAGCGACTTCTGACTACAAATCAGAAATCCAAATACCAGTACCATGACGCAGTGTCGCGTCTTGTTGGTTTGTGAATTGTGAATGTATGTACAGAAATCATATTATATATCGAATAAATAAAGAAACTTTTTGTAATACAATGGGAAAAGCATTACTGGTGATACTATTGTATTGTATTTTTTGTGCATTTTTATCTAATAAAAGTATAATTTGAAATATATACAAATGTAGTTTGGAAATGTGTATGTATGTGATATTCCACAATTTGTATATGGATATACTTGAATCTTTATCTTTAAAACAAATCAATGGAAATAAAAATGTTGAGCAAAAACACTTTCTTCTGAGGCCGGACTACTGGGGACCATCAGTGACAGACTTATATTTGAGACGACCCCTCGTCTTAAACACACATGGTGAGGATAAACTGTTTGCCGGCTGTCGGACAAGTAGGACATCACCCTTAGTACACCGCATAAAATTCAATCCAATGGAGCATAACAAATGGGGATAATATACTAAACCGCAAAAGAAACGTCACCATGCATAGATATATGAGAAACCTTATTTGTCCAAACACTGTAAACATACTTTGAGAGATATTAAAAAGATGAAATATGGCAAAACTGATCATCAAGGTTGAAATTAAAGTGTCAAATGTTCTTATAGTGAAACACAACACTCTCTGAGAAAATGCGCCGAAGACCCGGGTTCGATTCCCGACATGGGTACAATGTGTGAAGCCCATTTCTGGTGTCCCCCGCCGTGATATTGCTGGAATATTGCTAAAAGCGGCGTAAAACCAAACTCACTCACTCACTCTGAGAAAATGACATCACAAGTCAGAATCTCGTGTGTCCGCCATGTACATTGATGACTGCCGTGCAACGTCGATACATGGAATGGATGAGGTGGTTGATGAAGGCCATAGGCACTTGAGCCGGCACTCTGAGGAACGCCTAACGCAGTTCAACTGCACTTGTCGACCTTGGTCGGGCGTCATTCAGCCGTCTTTGAATCTCGTCCCACATGTGCTCAATGGGATTTAAATCGGAAATGAGGGCAGGCCACAACATGGTTCTGATGCTATTCTGCTGGAGGAAGTCTGTTGTTGCTCTAGCAGTGTGGGCACGGGCGTTATCATGCTGAAACTCGTGGTTGCGGCGACAGTAGCGGCTCTCGTCTGAGAATAGGAGTCTTCTCCACTGCTGGTGGCGCCAATGCTGGTGCTGTGTTGCCCACTGAAGACGGTCCCGGCAATGACGTGGTGTCAGAATGGGTCCTCGGTGTAGCCTGTGACAGTGGAGGTGTCTGCTCGTCAATCGTCGACGCACGGTGTCCGCACTAATGTGTCGCTGGTGTGTCCCCATGGACTGTCGAGCAGTTGCAGCAGCAGTAACAAAGCGATCTTGAAGATGCTGTCGCATAATCTGACGATCTGACGTGGGGTGGTGATCCTTGGTCTTCCACTACGTGGTCGGTCATCTGTAGTGTCGGTGATCTGGTACCGTTGCTGGAGCCTGTATATGGTCCTTACGTTGACTTGAAATGCATTGGCTACCTGCCGGGCAGTTTGGCCAGCTTGCAATCGTCCAAGGGCTTGGTGTCGCTGATTTCTTGTCAATCTTGGCATGTGGTAGCAATTCAATAACGAATGAATGTTATCCGATCTGGGTGGATCTTAATAGGCGTGAAATGGGGGAACGCATGTGCATTTCAATTTGCACGGAACTCACGTGCATCGGGTTACCATGGCCGTTGCCGTGATGCGTTTGGGCGATCGGTTTTATTGTCATCTACTTTGGGGGTTTTTTATCATCAAAATTCATTTTTTTCGGACAAGGTAATGTTAAATTTTAGAATTTTTGCCAAAAAATACCCAGATATTTAAATGACAACTTTTCATGCAATGTTACTTGGGGTGACGTTTCTTTTGCGGTTCAGTATATTAGAAGCAGCACACTTGGCAAGAATTAAAAACAAACGAGAGTTGTCTCCCATAGGCATGTGACTAGTTTCAGTTCCATAAGTCACGACATCTTCACCATGCTTGTAAAGGGCACCATACCGGGGATTATTATGCCTCAAAGTGAGATTGACCAATCAGAGAGTTTAATTACTACTGACTCCACATGAGACCGTATAATATAAATGACCTTTTTCACACTTTCGCCATCTTGTATCGAAAGCGAGGTTTGGGGAGCATTGAGTGCTTCCGTGTCAAGGAAACAGTATCGAAATGGCTTCCACCAATTTGAGCGCGAAGATTGTGTGGACCAAAAATTTAAACTGTGTCCCGGTCATAGGACCCGGTTTTGTTGAAACTTGGGTAAACCAAATTGCAAAAGGGCAACGATGCAGTTTACCGGGCGCAGCCCGAGCTCTACCATCCACTCAGTGCCACCGCTGTCTCGCTATACCGTTACAGTGTCTCACGCTCCGGTGACTCTCTCTTACTAATGTAAATAATGAACTTTTATCAGTAAAACATGCGTTGTTAGATAAAATAAATGACATCTGATATAGAGAACATAAAGGTTAGTGAATGCATTTTGTTCCGTTTAGCGTACATGACAAGTACCGCGATGCCCCGAGGCTGCAGGCTATATAGAGGGGTGTGATTGTTTTTCTCTATACGTACATGTATATATGTTGTTACACACGCTATCATCGAGTTCCTGTGACAGGCTGCTTACCTGGAAGGAGTTGCTCACATCTCGACGTATGGCTGCGAACCATTTTCTCCTGAGATGCTTGTCTTTAGGAAAATTAAAAAAAGACAAATCCGAAGAAACTGCTTTTCTCCGATCGCTCGTACAGAATGGGACCGCGCAGTGAGCCATTACTTCCTGTGTGTTGAATCTACCTGCACGAGCAGCGATGCTCCCCACGCCTCTCTTTCAAACAAGAAGTAGCGAAGTGTGAAAAAGGTCTATACCGTCAGTAAATATCCAAGATGGTTGATACTGACCTAATATGAGACTGTATACCGTCAGTAACAGCTATCTTGGATTTTCAAAGACCCACCTCACATATTTCACATGGAAATGCTGGTGCCGAAATTCGTTTTTTTAAACTGTTTAGCGTTTTACTATCATTAATTGTGATGTGCAAGGACATTAATCTTTTTTCAGATCACGTTCGTGACTTTATTGATATAGATTATAGTTAAAATTTTCAACAAGGTTTGGCCTCTAAGGTTTGAAGAGTGGTCTCCCTTTGACATCAGCAAATGCTGTCAAACGCTTTGATGGTAGCACCGATGAGGAAATCTCTGATAAAAGGCAAAATGTGCGATATGGATACCAGAGAATGTAAACTTTTCGACATAATAAATTCGTTATGGTGTCTTTAGTTGTCGTATACGGTGTCGTATTAGGTTAGCATAAATAATATTAGGCTCTGCGTCAGCCTAATATGACACCGTATACCGCTGACGCCGAGCCCAATGTTTTATATGCTAACCTAATATGACATCGTATACGGCAACTAAAGACACCATAACTAAAAGTGTTGCCCCTTAGGGCCCCGTACTTCCTCTCGCGGGCCCCGTACTTCCTCTCGCGGGCCCCGTACTTCCTCTCGCGGGCCCCGTACTTCATCTCGAGGGCCCCGTACTTCATCTCGAGGGCCCCAGAGACCCACTCTATAGTTCTGTATGAGGCTGTTCCTGTGCCTGAAAGAACAAAGCGGGTCTGGAACTAATTTGCTTCAAATCGGTAGATTATTTATCAGTGGCAAAAACAATCGAAACATGTTTCAGTGAGTGAGAGAGAGTGAGTGACTTGGGTTTTTCTCCGCTTTTAGCAATATTCCAGCCATGTCACGATTGGGGACATAATGTGCTTAATGATCTGTGAGGGGCGGTCGGGTAGCCTAGTGGTTGAAGCGTTCGTTCGTCACGCTGAAAACCCGGGTTCGATTCCCGACATGGGTACAATGTGTGAAGCCCATTTCTGGTGTCCCCCGCCGTGATATTGCTGGAATATTGCTAAAAGCGGCGTAAAACCATACTCACTCACTCACTTAATGATCTGTGCATATGTTGGGAATCGAGCCATGGTCTACTCGGTGTAACGAGGCAACGCTTTACCCATTAAGCCACCCCATGTCACCTTTAATTTCCTGATCGATTCACAAGAGCATTAAAAAACCTGGGTTCGACTCTATATTTGGGTACAGTTGGTGAAGCCATTATTGATGTCCTCCATCGAGTTTGGAGTAAAGCTAACTCACGTGATCAAACCTCAGCAAAGTTTGTAAAGAGGACAACATACCGAGGTATTTAGCACGTTGTGTGTTTTGAGCTCGTCAGTGCTTACATTGCTCGTTAGTGCTTACAGTGCGTGCTTGAATGTTGCCGTATTCAGCAATATGTCAGCCTTTTCATGACATCTTCCCGGGACAAGGGAGTTAACTGACTACAAAAGTCCAGTTTCCACCCTTGCCGAACTAGGCTGTTATTATGGAGTTACATTTTGTCTGGACGAACGAGACAATGCAGAGTCAAACAAAATAGCGCAACGAATTCGAAATCCGGTTCGTATACTGTGAAACAGATTTCGGTCGACTGCAGGACTTGCAAAGCATGTGCACGGCTAACTCGTTGTCAACAGATATTTTCCAAATCTTTTCATGTTTTTAATCAAGGGGTTCACGTGATTTGATGCACTTCGCGATGTAAGACCCGTTTTATCACAATATAGATCTTGATTATCGATCACATCGTCTTGACTGGGCACCGCCATTTTGTTTGAAGCAAATACAAGTGCGTGCGTGCGTGCGTGCGTGCGTGCGTGCGTGCGTGCGTGCGTGCGTGCGTGCGTGTCTGCTTGTTCTCGTCCGGACTGATGCCGAATTATAGTGCTTGTCCATTGAGATACCATGCCGCAGTTTAACATGAATACCCCACTCAGACACAGTGACCCTTAAGTCCCTTAATGGCAAGCGACAGGCAGGGAAACAACAAGTACCATCCTTTAACGGCCGGGAGTCGGGCGGACTCTCTACCACTAAACCACCAAGGCGGTCATTTTAATGAGGAACATGTAAAGACTGGTTTATCACTTTAAGTTTGAAACCAAAATTCTAGATTTATTAGCACCATACTCGTGCTCGTGAGTTTCACTATCATGGTTAAGTCTACGACCTGCATCACTTTGGCATTTCCTCCCATTTCTCAAGTTGCCTTGATATAACTGAATTACTTTTCTGTTCACTCTACGAAATAACCTCACCTGGTCGAACTCTTTGCAGTCACAGGTCTTAGAAATCGGATCCTTGGATGTTACTAAAGCGAAACCCTCTTCCAATTTCGGTTTATTCTTTAACAGTTTGGAAAGTTCCTGAAATATATAGAAAAAAACAGAGAAGGTGTAAAAAGTAACGAAAGACGAATTCTCCCCTTGTATTAAATCTCAATCCCTTCCCATCCCGCCAAAAATTGTGAGTATTGGTTCATGCCGCCTTTTGTAATATTCCAGAAATATCACGACGAGGGACAACAGAAATGGGCTTCACACATTGTACCCATGTGGGGAATCGAACCCGGGTCTTCTGCGTGACGAGCGAACGCTTTAACCACTAGGCTACCCCACCACCCTTACGGCAAAAATACATTATGTGCACTTTGCAAACCAAATGCCTCTTGATAAACCGGAATGGTAGAAAGACCGAGTTTAATAAATTCCCGATTCTTAGTGATTCCAGAGGCTGGCTGGATAGTTAAAGCGATATGACGTCAACTACTGTTCATGACATCACAAATAGATAATATTACGTCATCTGAACAATGGGCTAACTTTTCATTTTCGTTTTCATTCATTTTCTTTATTAAAAAAACAATGAGTAATATACAGATGAGGAGAAATTGGGCTTAACGTTGCGCTCAAGATTATTGCACTTGTAAAGCGACGCGCATGTGTTTGTGTGCGTGCGTGCGTGCATGAGTGTGTATGCGTGTTCGTGTGTGCGTGCGTGCGTGCGTGCGTGCGTGCGTGCGTGCGTGCGTGCGTGCGTGTGTATATGTTTCTATTTGTCCGAGGCCGGACTTACGTCGGTTTCATAGTGCTGACTTACTGAGATAATATACCGCAGTTTAACACCCCGTTCAGACACAGTATACAGATTCGGAGCCCTTCAGTCGTTGTTTTATCCCCTTAATTCCGAACAGCAGGCAGGGTAACAATAAGTACCATCTTTTAACGTCTTTTAGTATGACGCGGCCGATGACCGAACCACAAGCCTTCCGCCCTCGCGGCAGACGTTCTATACACTAGACTTCGGATGGGGTATTATTAGAATGACGATGACCAATATACAGAATAACAACAAGAATACAACGTAGGTCAAAATGAAATAAGTATACTTAAATTTGATGAAAAAGTTATCAATTATAGCGAAACTCGTCAATCCGAATCGCGTTATTCCGTAACTCAGCTTTCCGGATGGTTAAAGTAAAAGAACAATGGACCCTTCTTTGAAACCTTGATTTGAACGATATTAATGATTAATGAGGTTTATTTGTTTCTGTTGCTTACATAAGTAAGTAGTTACATACATGCAAGACCTTGACGTGATAGCAGTACAGGTGGCGTGGTGTGAGGTGCTCCAGCACGAAGTCCTGACTCCTTCGCCCGATAGCCTTGGCCTGGAAGTGACAGGGTACTGGTTATTGTTTGTTGGTTTGTTGTTTAACGCCGCACTCAGCAATGTTCCAGCTATATATGGCGGTCTGTAAATAATCGAGTCTGGACCAGACAATCCAGTGATTGACATCATGAGCATCGATCCACGCAATATTGGGATACGGTAGCATGCATCAACCAAGTCAGCGAGTCTGACCACCCGATCCCGTTAGTCGCCTCTTCCGACAAGCAAAGTTGCCTCTTACGGCAAGCATGGTTGGCTAAAGACCTATTCTACCCCGGATCATCACGGGTCGGATGCTGGTTAAGAAGGGAACTGTGTATCGGGCTTTGTACATGTAATGTATTGATGTAGGATTTCGGATAACATCAACTTAACAATTTGTACCTTATTTCAAACATCTTGTAACTCCACAATTCGTTACTCAAAACAATAAATATATCTGCAATATATTGAAAACCAATGATAAAAAAACCAATCATTGATATTTTTGTGGAATTATTTAAGTTGTCCATCGATATGGATGGCAATAATGCCAATATGCTAAGAGACGTTTGTTGTTTGTTGTTTAACTCAGCAATATTCAAGCTATATGAAGGCGGTCTGTAAATAATCGAGTATGGACGAGAAAATCCAGTAATTAATATCATGAGGCATCGATCCACGCAATTGGGATCGATCACATGCATCAACCAAGTCAGCGAGCATGGCCATCAGATCCCGTTAGTCGCCTCGTACAACAAGCATAGTCGCCTTTTACGGCAAGCATGGGTTGCTGAAGACCTATTCTACCCCGGAATCTTCACGGGTCCCAATAAAAGTACTTGTACACCACCTTACCTCTTCATCGTGGTCCTTCGCCCACTGGATCTGTTCTAAGAGGTTACTGAGATCGCTCTTGAAGGGTATATAGTGAACGTATGGCTCCAGGGCGTGGTAGAAGTGTTCGTAATATGTGGAGTCCTGTTTCAGGACAACAGAGTCTGAGGCTAGAAGAAGAGGCAGTCGGAATGCGGCCACAGTGCCGTCGATTGTGATCTGGTACTTGTGCTGTAAATATATCTCATGTATATAAGTCAGTACACAAAGGAGTGGTTCATGGGTCACCTCAATCTTCTTTGAATGGATGCTACAGTCTGCAATATTTCAGTTTTATGATGTTGGCTGGTAAATAGTCCTGACACACTAGTGGTTGTGGTGAGCAATGTACCCATGCTGCCAGCGCAGGGTGACAACCAGGTGTAAGCAGCCAGCGCCTAGATCTTCGAAACGATCTTAGCTAAGATAAATCTTAACAACTTACATTCAAAGATAAGATATCTTAAGGTTAAGAGAAGATAGATTTTCGAATACCTATCGTAACTCTGACAGAGAACTCATTTGTGTTAGAGATTGAAAAAGCGGGGTGTTTCCCAATGACGTCACTGGGATTTCCCAGCTGCTGACAATAACAACAACATATATATGAGTGACAGGGAATTCATGATCACATTGTCAGGTCACATTGTTTAACATGCACATATTTGAGTGAAATTCTGTACAATCCTACATGTAGACATGTACTTTTGTTCTTATGATAAAGGTCACTGAGATCGACCATCCGACCCATTTAAGGTGCCTCTTTCCACAATCATAGGTTACTGAACACCAATCCTGTGCCTAAACCATCACATGATCTTTCAAGATGAATAAACATGGTTCACAGTGGTGCCATCATTAACAAAACGTTTCTCTGCCAAGCTTTGTGGTATTTCTAGTGAATGTCTTGTGGTCTAATATCAGGTGATCACGTGAAACAGCAACATGCTAATTTATTGGATCAGATTGATTCTTAGATTAGTACTTTTGCCCTTTATACCAAAAGGAATCTGTTCCAGTGGACCCAACCCCTAATGGTCTCTCACACACATACCAACACACACACACACACACACACACACACACACACACACACACACACACACACACACACACACACACACACACACACACACACACACACAGACACACACAGAGAGTAACACACACAAACACAAAAACACACACACACACACATACCAACAGAGAAACACACACGGAGATACGGTAGCATGCATCAACCAAGTCAGCCAGTCTGACCACCCGATCCCGTTAGTCGCCTCTTCCGACAAGCAAAGTTGCCTTTTACGGCAAGCATCGGTGGCTAAAGACATATTCTACCCCGGATCATCACGGGTCGGATGCTGGTTAAGAAGGGAACTGTGTATCGGGCTTTGTACATCTCTCTCACACACACACACACACGCACACACGCGCGCACACACAGAGCGCGTGACCGAAGTTAAAGCAATGGCATATGTTTGATGAAGTATACATAAGCTCAAGATTTGAATAAAGTAAAGAACAGTAACCTGAAAGAAGTCAAAGAAGTTGACGTGTTTGGATATGTTCCCGTACTTCTCATCCTTCGGGAAGAAGGACATCCGTGACAGAGACACGTTGAAGACATCTGGATGTTTCTGCGCCATGACAGCTAAGTCCAGACGTTCCCGTCGACTGTCCCTCCCTCTCCAAAAGGCCAAGTTGGTCTTTTCCTCCCAAACTGGCCCAGTCTTGCCTTGGACAGAGAATTGGTCTGTGTTGTGTCTGTTGGAGTACATGAAAGAAGGTGCAGACGCACAGGACCTACTGGGCTTCAATAAAGTGGTTTCAAGGTTTCAGTCCATACATTTTATACGAAACTGAATGCCTTAGTGTGAGAAACTCTGAAATGAAACGCTGCAACGAATTTATCTTACCGACATGTTTTTATATGTCATTGTAAAATAATTCAAACAAATTCAAAATTGATAGAAAACAGCTGTTTGACTGAGCTGTGGAAGGGTATAAGGAAGGGTATAAGGGATATATTTTGTCTCTCAGAAATGCACGTGCAGCCTGAATTGCTCGTGGCGGGGTATAAGGGATTTAGAAATGATGCTGAGAAATGATTCCCCCCCAGGCTGGATACATCGTATTTTATCAAGATCACGTGGGACAATCAGATCTCGTCATTCTGACATGGAGGTATGTTAAAGTTGGTTTATCTCCAATCACTCAATCAATCAAAACAAGAAATGTTTAATTTTGTCTAGAAACCTATGCTTATATCTTCAGCAGGTTGGATGGTCGAATTCGGGGAACAGTAAGTATTGCTTTTGATCCACAAATGTTTGCTTTCACATGCACAAACCATACATTTCACCTACTATTTACACCACTACATATACATGTAGATATACACATACATTAAATCGATTCAGAAACAGTGAGATGTGATTTCTGTAAGCTCTCTGAAGGACCTTTCAAATCAAAATGAAGCGACCCTTGAAATGTTTGGTCCTAGTATATACTTATTATCACTTCATAATGTTCTTCAGATAGGATATTTCTGGTGTCCCCGGCTATAGTATTGCTGGAATATTGCTTTTTGGTTTCGTTTGTTGATTAACGCGCACTCAGCAATATTCCAGCTATATGACGGCGGTCTGTAAATAATCAAGTCTGGACCAGACAATCCAGTGATGAGCATCGATCCACGCAATATTGGGATATGATGGCATGCATCAACCAAGTCAGCGAGCCTGACCACCTGATCTCGTTAGTCGCCTCTTACAACAAGCATAGTCACCTTTCAGCAAAAATGGGTTGCTGAAGACCTATTCTACCCGGGATCTTCATGGGCCGGAATACTGCAAAAAGTAGCGTAAAACCATACTTTCTCATGCACTCATTCTGCAGACAGAAAGCCCTAGCATTGTGTCGCATGTGACGTCACATTACCCCACTCAGACACAGTATACTGACTCCGAGCCGACCAGTCCTTGTTTTAGCCCCTTAATACCGAGCACCAGACAGGGTAACAACAAGTACCATCTTTTAACGTCTTTTGGTATGACGCGTCTGGGGATCGACCCTGGACACTCTACCACTAGACCACAGAGGCGGTCCTACTCACCTTTCTAACATATATATAGTAGATTTAACCATTTCATAGGTCGGTAGAACTATATCTCTGCTGTCATCAGATCCACAAAAGGAGACAATAGGGATGGGTCCGTCCTTAATATCCTTTTTCTCCTTAGGCCAATCACTTAGGTTCATGATGAATTCAACATCTGGCAGCTTTACCTATGAGTGGGGAAATGATGCTGTTTATTTATTTGATCGTACTTGTAGTCTGACAGCAGAATCTGTCAATTAGAAATGGTGTAAATAAGGTCACACAATCAGGTTTGCTGTAGACTTTCGAAGCCTGAATCGTGTCACTAAACCTAACAACTCCCCACTACCTTGCAACGAACAGGTTACTAAAGTAATCATAATTACCTTCATATAAGGAATCTTTCATATGAACCTTTTAAAAATATATTAAACATTCTATTCTTCCAAACATATCAATGATCATTGTTTTAAGAATAGAACAAAGGGTTTTTTGTTCACAAAACGGGTTAAAATCAGAAAATAAACCAAATACCATCGGGGTAGATACTTTGAACAAAGTCTTACTTTACGTGCGAGTGACAGCAGAATTTCGTCTATAAACGACACTCCAGTAATGCGCCTTGTACCAAAGAAATCCTTCCTGTATATCTGTTTATGAAATAAGAAGTGTAAATTAATTGCGATAATTGGATACAGCTATTGTCCTGTGATTTTACCAAGTTATTTCACTGAGAACATATTTTAGAAATATTCATTAGGTCAGTTTGATGAATTCAATCATTTATCCTTGTAACAATATCTACCAGAAATGGGCATCATATAGTATGTAAACTTGTACATTAACAGATTTCAAGGCTTTAGTTAGAACTATATTCCAGCAAAGAGTTTTCCTTATATATATGAACCGTACCTGTCAGTATTGCAAACAAAAGAATGTTTCACATGATTCATAGTTCTATCTATTATTGGTTTCCAACATGCCTTGTTAGCGATGATCTTGTAGTGGCTAAAGGTGCCAGAAAACCGTTCCACAGCTTCCTTTGCCACCTTATCAAAGTCTAGTGGGTCTTGGAAGATGCTGAGATCCTGCTGCAGCTGCTTGTAGGTGGCTGGACACATCATAGTGGAGAACCATTCCTGGAGGTTCGGTTGTGGACAGTCGCAATGCTCATCATAGATCGGGCCTGGTAGAAACATGAGAGAGTCATAACAATGTATTACTGTATATTTAATAGTTATTGTATTCTGTGTTGATTTCCTGACGATATCCATTGGTTTTGGATCCCAATGTGACATCACTGTTTTATAGTGGTTCATAAACACATGCTCATGATACAGTCGGAATCATAGCATTGACTTCATATGAAATGTGGAAATGTTTTGTCGCTTTTTTATGCACATATTGGAATAGAGAAACTGAAATCAATTATCCAATATCATATTTTGTAAGTGTTCCGTAGCAATAGTTCTGTGAGTAACCTTTCAAATAGATTTTCCTACTTTATATCATACTTGGTGTATATGTTACCCGCATACTTGGTGTGCTACATGCCTTATATGACCTGCATACTTGGTGTGCTACATACCTTATACTACCTGCATACTTGGTGTGCTACATGCCTCTCTTGCCTGCCTACTTGGTGTGCTACATGCCTTATATAACCTGCATGCTTGGTGTGCTACATGCCTTATATTACCTGCATACTTGGTGTGCTACATGCCTTATACTACCTGCATACTTGGTGTGCTACATGCCTTATATTACCTGTATACTTTGTGTGCTACATGCTTTATATTACCGCATACTTGGTGTGCTACATGCCTCTCTTGCCTGCCTACTTGGTGTGCTACATGCCTTATATTACCTGCATGCTTGGTGTGCTACATGCCTTATATTACCTGCATACTTGGTGTGCTACATGCCTTATACTACCCGCATACTTGGTGTGTTACATGCCTTATATTACCTGCATACATGGTGTGCTACATGCCTTATATTACCGCATATTTGGTGTGCTACATGCCTTATATTGTCTGCCTACTTGGTGTGCTACATGCCTTATATTACCTGCATACTTGGTGTGCTACATGCCTTATACTACCTGCATACTTGGTGTGCTACATGCCTTATATTACCTGCATACTTGGTGTGCTACATGCCTTATATTACCTGCATACTTGGTGTGCTACATGCCTTAAATTACCTGCATACTTGGTGTGCTACATGCCTTATATTACCTGCATACTTGGTGTGCTACATGCCTTATATTACCTGCATACTTGGTGTGCTACATGCCTTATATTACCTGTATACTTGGTGTGCTACATGCCTTATACTACCAGCACTCCAGCGGCGGTGACACCCGCACAGAACATGCACACTAGGGGTGGTTAGCATCAGTGTACGTCTGTTACACTTACATATAACAACAGACTCCCCTCTCTGGGCATTGCAGTTGGAAGAAGTAAGTTAAGAATCTTAAATGAAATTCTTAATCGAATACTATTAAACTAATACGGTTCGTGTTAGTACAATGAAGAAGTTTGAAGAGTCTAAATGTATATCTGACTAAATAAAGGTAAAAGGTAAAAAGTTTGGTGAAGTGACATGTGTGACTTTTACCACTCTAGGGAAACCTGAACGCCCGGATAAGGTGCTGACAGACCAAGGATCATAATCAGGGATGACCTGAAATTTGAACCCATTATCAGCGGATCCTGGTATGGCTAAGAACTCACGTGTCTCAGGCAATTTTATCATCTCTGGTCCTCTGTTGCTGGGAATAAATAGTTTCACCGTCTAAAGCTAACATACTGCCCAGTCGTCTTAGGCAACGCATTTCGTTGTGAAGAGTTGTGTCCCTTAGACGTACCAGAAGCCAATGAGCACGGATTTGAATTCCGTTTTGTCCTGATAATGTTTCAACATACCCTTGCTCACCAAAGTGGTAAACGTCTAACTTTGTTTTATTCTTCACTAATAGCCAACGTTTACTCTGAACTAAGGGAATAAACATAAACACATATTTACCCATCAATTTATAAGGCGATGCTGCGACTTGCCTGCCGTCGTACAAGACGGTGATGATGACGTTTTCCACTGACGCCTTGAGGAGACGGAATCTGGCGATGTACGATCCATCCCGTCTGTCAATAACATCCACTCTAACACTCCGTAAACGACTACCATCCGACAAGTTGATGTCGAATTTAAACGCCTGCGATCCAACCGACTCCGTGAAACTACACAACAAAAATTTAAAGTTTGTATTAAATTTTTTTTAAACGTTTTAAAGAAAAGAACATATTTTCCTATGTCCTATTATTTCCTTCTTGAATTGAGTGAATTGAGTTTAACGCCGCGCTGAACAATATTCCAGTTATATCACGGTGTTATCATGATTCAGTTAACAAGAGGTCCAACACCTGTACAACTGGTTTGAAGAGTAGTCTCCCTTTGGTCTTTAACGTCTTCGGTTGTAAGAGTTTAACGCCGCGCTGAACAATATTCCAGGTGTATCACGGTGTTATCATGATTCAGTTAACAAGAGGTCCAACACCTGTACAACTGGTTTGAAGAGTAGTCTCCCTTTGGTCTTTAACGTCTTCGGTTGTAAGAGTTTAACGCCGCGCTGAACAATATTCCAGGTGTATCACGGTGTTATCATGATTCAGTTAACAAGAGGTCCAACAACTGTACACTAGAAAATAAAATAGTTCGGATTCTGTTACAGAGTAAGTAAGGGCATGAGTGTAGATTTACGCCATTTTTAGCAACATTGCAGCAATATAACGGTATTGCATTGGGAATACCCATGTGTTGAATCGTACCCACATAGAGGACAAAAGATGATATACATTTCGCCGCAGGTGACACACGATAATGAACATATGTCACAGGTGACAAAAGATAATAAACATGTGCCACAGGTGAAAGAGGTAAGTGAACATATGTCACAGGTGACACAAGATAATGAACATATGCCACAGGTGACACAAGATAATGAACATATGCCACAAGTGACACAAGATAATGAACATATGCCACAAGTGACACAAGATAATGAACATATGTCACAGGTGACACAAGATAATGAACATGTGCCACAGGTGACACAAGATAATGAACATGTGCCACAGGTGACACAAGATAATGAACATGTGCCACAAGTGACACAAGATAATGAACATGTGCCACAGTAGACACAAGCTGATAAACATATGCCATAAGTGACACAAGATAATGAACATGTGTCACAGATGACACAAGATAATGAAGCCAATGAGCACGGATTTGAATCCCGTTTTGTCCTGATAATGTTTCTATATACCCTTGCTCACCAAAGTGGTAAACGTCTAAACTTTGTATCACTTCGGGATTTTCTCCCACAAAAAGCTGACACGCCATGAAATATAACTGAAATACTGTTTTATTCTTCACTAATAGCCAACGTTTACTCTGAACTAAGGGAATAAACATAAACACATATTTACCCATCAATTTATAAGGCGATGCTGCAACTTGCCTGCCATCGTACGAGACGGTGATGATGACGTTTTCCACTGACGCCACAGGTGACACAAGATAATGAACAGGTGACACAAGATAATGAACATGTGCCACAGGTGACGCAAGATAATGAACATATGTCACAGGTGACACAAGATAATGAACATATGTCACAGGTGACACAAGATAATGAACATATGTCACAGGTGACACAAGATAATGAACATATGTCACAGGTGAAACAAGATAATGAACATGTGTCACAGGTGACACAAGATAATGAACATATGTCACAGGTGACACAAGATAATGAACATGTGTCACAGGTGACACAAGATAATGAACATATGTCACAGGTGACACAAGATAATGAACATGTGCCACAGGTGACACAAGATAATGAACATATGTCACAGGTGACACAAGATAATGAACATATGTCACAGGTGACACAAGATAATGAACAGGTGAGACAAGATAATGAACAGGTGACACAAGATAATGAACATATGTCACAGGTGACACAAGATAATAGTGAGTGAGTGAGTTGGGTTAAACGCCGCTTTTAACATTATTCCAGTTATATCACGGCGTGTCAGCTTAATGTGGGAGAAAAGCCCGAAGTGATGCAGGTCTTAGACGTTTACCACTTCGCTGAAGCCTCCGAGCACAGATTATGGTGCTGACAAACCTAGAAACATAATCGGGGCGAACCGGGATTCGAACCCACAATCATAGGTTTCTGGCGTGCCCAAGGGACCACAAGATAATAATAATGTGCCACGGGTGAAAGTGGTTAGTGAACATGTGTCACAGATGACACAAGATAATGAACATATGTCACGGGTATACCGTCAATAACAGACATTTTGGATTTTCCAACACCCACCTCACATATTTCACATGAAAATTCTGGTACAGAAATTCGTTACTCGACACTGTTTGTGTTTTAATACAAATAATTTTGATGTGCAAGGACGTTAATGGGTTTTTTTGGATCACGTTCGTGACTTTAATAAAGAATATATACAATTAAATTATCAACAAGGTTTGAAGAGTTGTCTCTCTTTGACCTTTAACGTCTTCGGTTGTAAGTGTTTTAAGTTTTGACATGACATGTGCAAAAAAAATACCAAATACTGTAAACTTTTTGTCATAATTAATTCGTTATGGTGTCTTAGTTGCCGTATAGTTGACGCCTCGCCAAATATTTTTTCTGCAAACCTAATATGACACCGTATACGGACACTATAGCTAATAACATATGTCACAGGTGACAAGATAAAGAAATATATGTCACAGGTGACACAGGATAATGAACATTTACCACAAATAATGCAAAATAATGAATAATTAGATAATTGGTAATTAAAGTATATTTTTTGGTAGTTTTCAACTTTCTAAAGCATAATTATTTCTTTTAAGCATTTCTCGGACAAATTGTTTTTAGATATAATCCAAGCCCTTTCATGGGATAGATTTTCATATGAAAAATATGCTATTCCATGACATTCGATGTGATTATGTTGATGCCCCTTTGTGGATTGCGGGCCAAAATATGGATCGTTCGACACGCTTTCTGTTGTTAGTGTCTCTGGTCCAGACTTATTACAGTAAACTACGTTTATAACGAACACGCTTATAACGAACTGACGGATATAACGAACCTACTTTTTTTACCCAAATATTTGCTATCGTTATGCTGTATATATGCTTATAACGAACTAAAATTAGTGGTCCCTTTGAGTTCGTTATAACCGTAGTTAACTATATTTTACAGGCCGCCATATCACTGACAAACTGCTGACTGCGGCGTTAAACAACATTCACTCATCCGTGGGCGTTTGTATAATGTGGTAATTTATGTAACTCTCCTTTTAAGGAAATTTGTTTGATGCAAAATCACCCTTACGTTCAAACACACCATTACTCTTACTTGAGGCCAAGGTCACTGAGGATCGATTGGTTGCTAGGGACGCGTGTAGACAGCAACACTTGCTTGCAGTCTATAATATACAACGAACGTCCACACTTACTTCTGATTAAACTGATCGACAGCTTGAATGTAGAAATATCGAACAGGTAGAGCAATTCTGGGTGTCAGGCCAGGTCCCCAAATCAAACAGTTGTCTGGAGCAACCTCTCTTTCTTTTCCATCGCCATCCCCTTTGGTGACCGCAGACGCCACGGCAACTCCGATTAGAATGGAGGTATAGCAAATAGGTTGACTCTTCCTTGAAACCATGCTGAATCTAGGGTTCACTCAAGAATACCGATAGTAATGTTTAAATGGCACTATCGTGCAACTATCTTTGGATAAGGAGGAGCCAGATGTGCTACATGCAACCTGTATCCATGCATCGACTGGATGGTGATGAAGCTTGCTGGTGAATGAAAGTTGGTGAACCGTATAGGACAGGCGCTGTTTAAACAAGCACCTGCTTGTCGTGCTTCTGATTGTGTTTGAGGAAGGGCTGGTTGGCTGTACCACGGACTTGTATAGGTTATATAGGTCCGTGGCTGTACTATATCTCAGAGATGAGTGAAAACGTCAATAAACCGTAATGTTACGCTGTTCGCAGTTATTATCAGTGTGTTTGCATGGGGTTTAAATCATCACTTCATTCATTGCCCGTGGAGATCCGGGTAGAATAGGTTTTCAGCAACATTGCTTGTCGTAAAAGGCGACTGTGCTTGTCGTAAGAAGCGACTAACGGGATCGGGTGGTCTGGCTCGCTAACTTGGTTGATGCATGCCATCGTCGTATCCCAATTGCGTGGATCGATGCTCATGATATCAATCACTGGATTGTTTAGAGACCGCCGCCATATGGCTGGAATATTGCTGAGTGCGGCGTTAGTGGTGTGCTGGCACAGTCGAGGAAAGCGCAGATCGAGCAGTATAACACCCCATGCGGAGTTTCAATTGAGAGATTTGACCCTTTTTTGATAGTAATTTACAACAACTTTCCACAACGCCTTTGGGTCAAACTGACACATACATATATTATTTAACCGTTACTTAACAGTTTGTTTAAGACACTGGGCTGAGTTGTGAAAGTAGCGTTACGTTCCAGCGAGGACTTGGTTTCACAGTATCGACCGTATGTGCAGTGACGGAAAACAACCTTCATTCAGTCATGCAAGTCGTTTGACAGCACAATCAACAATGTTGTTACCGATTACCATCGCGTTATTTGCCGATATAAAATCAAATTTAAACTTAAATTAAAAATATCGGATATAGGATAAATAAAATCAATTTGAACAAATTTAACGACAGGTTTCTAACATGAAACGCATACCCCTTCAATAACGTAATTCAGGTAAGTTCAAGAAGCGTGTTCGCCTTGGTGTTAACTTTGGTATGATTGAAAACCTCAAGATATTTTAAAAAAGTAATGTGTAGTTTTTTATCAGATAAAAATGTGCAAAATATTTCTTCATTTTTCCTTGTATAATGAAACGCCGACTGTTTCAAATTGTACGCTCTCTTTTCGGCGCTTTATGCTAAATCAATTAAACAGGCTAAAGGTTAAAGAAGGTATGAGAGAGAGAGAAAGAGAGAGAGAGAGAGAGAGAGAGAGAGAGAGAGAGAGAGGGAGAGAGAGAGAGAGTCCGGTTCAATGCCGCTTTTAAGAGAATTGTGACAGTGCACAATTTATGATCAAATATTTCACATATTTATATTAATTTGTATATTTATATTGTGCACATATTTGCCATATATTTCATGTAATTATTTCTATACTTTATTTGTATGTATATATTTTGCAAATATTTGCCATATTTCATGTAACATTGAAATGTCACTTTAATTACCCATCATGTCAAGGCCAAGCTGACAATGTCAAGGCCAAGCTGACCTAGCAAAACTAATTAACATCAACCAGATGTTATCACCAGTGTCTACTTGAAAATCCAATCTTTACCTGTAGATTACGTTAATGACCATTGTATAGACATCCAGACAGCGGCTGTAAAAACAAACTTTTCTTAATCTGACGTAATTACCGCAATTACCATCGTGTCACGTGACCGTTGTCAGCTTGGCCTTGACATGATGGGTAATTAAAGTGACATTTCAATGTTACATGAAATATGGCAAATATTTGCAAAATATATACATACAAATAAAGTATAGAAATAATTACATGAAATATATGGCAAATATGTGCACAATATAAATATACAAATTAATATAAATATGTGAAATATTTGATCATAAATTGTGCACTGTCACAGAATTACTATTCACTACTCTGGTGTTGAAACCCACTATCACAGGTAGAAACCTAGAAACATAATCAGGGTGAAACGGGGTTCGAACCCACGACCAAAGGCTTCTGGCATGCGTGAGAGACGCAGCTATGCACAGCTATTTGCCACGACACCAGACGGCTGGGCCACTTGTCCATCCTTGGAACTATCAACGTATTACACATTACTAATAGCAATATCGACACGGATGAGACGGTACCTGAGGGCGCCAAAGGCGTAAAACATTTCACGAATACAGTCCATACGTATGTTTAACGCCGCACTCAGCAATATTCCAGCTATATAAAGGCGGTCTGTAAATAATCAAGTCTGGACAAGACAACCCAGTGATTGACATCATGAGCATCGCTTTTTGTAATTGGGATACGATGACATGCATCTACCAAGTCAGCTAGCCCGACCACCCGATACGGTTGTCGCCTCTTACGACACGCATTGGTTGCTGAAGACCTATTCTACCCCAGATCTTCACGGGTCGACCGAACTTATACCCCTCCAGACTATTAAATGTTTGTTCCCTAATAGATACTTCACCTTAGCTCACCTTGTCATCTATTGCTATACCGTATCAGGTTTGAGTTTAATCTAAGCCGGATCTTCACAGGTGAAGTCTAAAGTAAGTTTTCCATTCATTTCGGTCCAAAATGCGCCTTGTTTGAACATCTGTGGTATTCTTTCCCTGAATTCCATGACAAAAAAAGGCTAGTGCCAGTTAGCAACCTCAACAAATTTTGATTAAGTTCCTAAAACATCACTTTGTTTGCCTACTGGATATATATCAATCTACCAGACGATGATTGTCTGAACTTTACAAAGTAAGTGAGTGAGTAAGGTTTACGCTATTCCAGCATTATCATACAGGGGGACAGCAGAAATGGGCTCCACGTGGGGATTGTAACAAATGTTATATTTTGGATAACACTTTCTTAGTAAAGTACAGATTCTCGTACTTTTTTTGGTTGAGTCCCCCGTCCGGGATTCGTACCCACACTTGCCAGAGTGAGGCACCTAATCGCCATCACACAAAGTCAGCGATCAGCTTTCGGCCATGGGAGCCGTGCCAATTTACACTTGTCAGAGGGGTACTCAAAGGACTTTCATTTTTGTGGAAGCCTCGGATGCTGAGTGGGTTAGATCGCTGACTTTGTGTGCTGGCGATTAGGTGCCACTGGGCACTAATCACAGTGTCGAGACTTAGGCGGGAAACAGGCTTCCGCAACGATATGGCAACAGTACCATTGCGATTGCTTACATGCCCCCAACTGTCATCCCTACTAGGCCGTCTTCGTGGTCTAGAGGATAGAGTGGTTCGACCCTGGACCGCGCCATTTAAAAGGACGTCAATAGACTGCTACCCTGCCTGGCGCTCGGCACTGAAGGGGTAAAACAAGGACTGGTCAGCTTGAGTTGGGTATCCATGTTTAACTGCAGCATGATATCTCAGAGGTCTAGCCTACAGAAGTCCGACCACACACAAACACGAGCATGCACGTCGCTGTATTCAGTAAACTACGTTTATAACGTACTGGCGTATATGACGAACTTATTATGTTTCTCCTCACCTCACTGATACTTACCAAACGAACACAAAAAGCAGCGAAGGATGTTACAAAGGTGCTCTAGTACTTGTTCGCGCATCCAAATCTCCGTTAGGAAATCCGAGTGCACCGTTACCCATTAGGTTGTTATAGATCGTGATGATGCACCACAGCCCATGCAAGTTAACTGTCTGGATGAATAACACTGTCTTCAATGGCTTGTTCAGTGTTTTGTGTTGGCACATATTATGTAAGGGTGTATATTATTACATGTGGCTTGCCTAAAGAGGAAAGTATATTTACAGACAGCAGGGTATCACTTAAAAATCTGTCTTTGATGACATGAATGACCATGCGCCTTCAAATGAAAATGAAGATAATGGAGAAAGCACACACTAATACGTTAATTGCACTACACTTCACTAGACCGCCTCCGTGGTCTAGCGGTAGAGCGTCCGCCCGGAGAGCGGAATGTCCGGGGTTCGATCCCAATACCAAAAGACATTAAAAGATGGTACTTGTTGTTACCCTGTCGGGCGCTCGGCATTCAGGGGCTAAAACAAGGACTGATCGGTTCGGAGTCAGTATACTGTGTCTGAGGAGGGAATTCATGTTAAACTGCGGCATGGTATCTCAGTGGGCTAGCATTATAAATCGGCATCAGTCCGGACTAGTACAAGCAGCCACACACACACACACACACACACACACACACGTGCATGCACGTCACTATATAAGTGCAATAACCTTGGACGCGACGTTAAACTCAATTTCACCTCACCTCAATACACTTCACTAGCGATTTGCTGTGCCGAGTTGCTACCCTTCCGCAGAAACCTATGATTGTGTGTTCGAATCCTGGTTCGCCCTGATTATGTTTCTAAGCTTATCAGCACCATACACATGCTCGTGGGTTTCACCGAAGTGGAACACCCCTGAGACTTCGGGCTATCCTCCCACATTAAGCTGACACCCTGTGATAGAACTGGAATACATGTACTGTTAAAAGCGGGGTTAAACCGGTCTCACTATCTCACTAAAGTATTGACAATGTATTCCAATGAAGAACCTTTTGTAGGTTATTGAAGGTAGGGAATTAACAAAATCACAATTCAACTTTATATACCAATTTATTTCATAACATATACACTACCAGTATTGTAGTTGTTCTGAAGTTCTGATCTGATGCTCATGAAGTGTGATATGAACATGGACTGATAGACACTGTGAATAAAACATTTCCATAAATGTCTTTATCAATTTATTTCTCACAACAGTTGAGTTTTGTAAATAAACGCAACACACATACAACTATGGATGTTAAGGGACCGACCATCTGTTATTTCTGTGGGAACTGAGATTTAAAAACAGGTTTGTTCAAGACAATATTGAAAAAACCCTTCCTCAGGTTTATAAACAAATAAATAATTGTCCACTTGAACCCCCAAAAATGAAAAATGTGCTGCTTACAAAAAACAAATTGTTTGGCTCTTTCTTGAGAAAAAGAATTCATGTCTTGAGGCGGCCAACAGAAAAAATATTCTGTCATTAACAAAACTCCCTGGCCCTTCCAAGAATATCAAATGATCGGTGCCTTAGATAATATGGGTGAGTGAGTGAGT